CAAAAAAATGATTGTTTTAACGCCAACGCCTATCGTTGACAATCAATGGACAATAAAGGATAAAGCTCTCGGCGTTGATCAATTCCTGAGGGATGCGCCATGAACTCGACTTCACTAATCATCGTTTGGGGGTGATTGAATGCACATCTGGCCTTTACAATGACCCACGGTGGCCAACCGATGTATCGAGCCAGCGCTGCTATCCTCCCTGACAAGTATGGTACCAATTTGTCAACGCCGGAGTGATGAAGGGCTTGATGGGCTATGGGTGCGGGGATAGATTTCACATTTGTTTTGCATGGCGTCTCCGATCACTGCGCTATACGCAGTCTTTTACAATTAATGATCGAAAAGATATAGAACCAGAAGAATTTGAACAGATTTTACAGTATGATCTTTCAGTAATCGTAATAACTACGCATGCGCCTACAAGCCAATCATCCATATTTAAAATCTTCTAATAAAATCCGATAGATGACAAAGTAATTAGTCGAACGGCTAATTTCAACTTGGAACTTTTAAGTTTTCTGCGAACAAAACAAAAAGACTGGTTCCTATTACAAACAAATGTAAAAGCTTGATTTTCCCGAATATTCAAAACTCGAGATATCAGAGTTTTCTGAATAACCAGCCACATATTTAAAATGGATTTTAGAGAACAGCAAAAAGGGATTACGATCAAGGTGCTCACGTTCAACGTACCGTAGTCGGTAAAACAAGTGGTTGGAGTCCGGCCAACGGTACTGACGACATCTGATACGAGTTACCGATCTTTACCGCGTAACGTTTTGCACCGTTAATCGGTGAACTGAGCGGTGAAGCCGAAAAATGTCCAAACGAGCGCTGGAATCGTTTGCTAATGCTTGAAGTTTGAAAGTGGTATGTTTAGTAACTTTTATTTATTATCTACTTTTATTTGATGGTAGGGTAAGATTCCAACTGTAACCACAAAGATACTGAGATACGAGCAAAACTTGGAACATCAACTGGGCCTCGAACCCGCGTAAACCCTTAACGGAGGCTCACGTGCTACCCACCACACCAGCCGAAGTCTTTTCATGGCCTTTCTCTAAGCCAGTTTTTTTACTCATTCCCGTGGACAGGTGATTGTTGATAGCACTGATAGAGTCTGGTCGAAAATGAGAATCGATCATTGTAAGTGGAGATTTTTTAATACAGAAGTGTAAACAAAAAAGACTGATGTTTCCTTATTTTGTATAAGGATAAACAACAGGTAGATGGGTATGTCATCGATTAACTCTAATCCATTAGAATATTATTTATAGCGATGAAGCTGTATGACTTAGAAGAAATGGCTGGGAGCATACCGTATAGAAGTATGAGCACTTCATATGTAGTTACTGATTCGATTCAAAGATGCAGAAAAGCAAAGAATACTGAGCAACCTGGGCTTGTGGTTTCGGCAGTATTTGTCCACTGTTTGACCTAACCAAGGGCACGGACGAGGTACTTGATGTTTCAGTTATCGATGGAGCACCGGACACGTTCCTCTCTCGAAGCTCCGTCTCCTGGCGAAGACGTTCAGATGCTAATTCTGCGAACATCATTAGCGACGAGGATGTATTTGAGATGAAATCTTCGGATCTAAACTAGTAAACTACACTTGATTTGTTCTTAAATTGTTCATTGATCTAATAGATGTCTAGTAAAACAATAATATGGAGGGCAATTCTATGATATTGGTCAACAGCATGTATAACCGTAACCGCGATTCGTGATAGAGATACTTGGAAAGTTGGATGACCCGTCATCACTGGCTGTGCGGGTCCTAGCGTAATTTCCGCATTTTCGGAGTTTTGCTGGTTTAGCCACTGTGGTTCCTCGGAGTCCCGAGACCAGCAAGGCAAAAGTCTGCCCAGGTTGTCACCACCGCAAGCAGTCGCCGTACTTGAGGATCAGAGGAAGATTTGCCACCATGCGACTAGTTAGGACGGTGGTGGATCTTCGTATTGGTTTACTTCACAGTAAACATGTTAGAGATAGCAACTGTGAACTTAGTCCTGCAACAAACTCTCAGCCACAAAGTTTAGAAGTCCAAATTTTTTCAGTTTCGGACAATCTACTAGGGATCTATCAAAGCCGGTAAAGACATAGAGAGCCTAATAGAATGATACTTTAATATGTCACAGTGTGCACCAGGAGACCTCCTTTATTCCATTGCACTTACATGGCTTTGTTTCCTTTTCTAAACCAGGATTTTCTAAGATTCCTGCTAACGCTTCCTGTGATTAATGTGGTAACACATAGAGGATGAACAAAGTAGGAGACCGAATCCAAAAACAGATCTTTCTCGTTGTTACCTCCAATAATCAGTTATATCAGAAAACCGTCTAAATCATGTCAGATTGTTCAGAAATAAATGAGCATTTTAAAATGTATTGTTTTAATGTATTATTTACCAATAAAATACTCCCTGTACCATGCAATATTACGTATCATTAGAAAGCTGATTTTATGCGCTTTATAAACATTATTTTTATATTTTGCCAAAAGCTAATCTCTTTTAACAATTTTGTCAATAATTTTGAGCTTCGCAATTTTAGATGACAGGAACGGATTTTCGTCAAACTTTCTTTTATGGGCTCAAACTCGGTCGTAGTGCAGCAGAGACGGCTGGAAACATTAGTGAAGTTTGGAGTGAAGGTAGTGTTGGTAAATCAATAGTGCGAACACGGTACCGGAAATTACAATCTGGTGATTTCGACCTCGAAGGTAAGGAAGGGCGCGAGCATCCCAATGAACTTGACGAAGACGAACTGAAGGTACTAGTGGAAGCAAACAAGCAAACAACTGTTCGAGAGCTGGTACAAGAGATTGGCGTAAGCATAAGAATAATTTCCACTCACTTAAATCGCATAGGAAAGGCAAAAAAAATCGACAGGTGGATGCAGCACGAAGTAGGCGATAATCAGAAAAATCGTCGTTTTGAAGTGTCATTTGCTCTTATTCTGCGCAACAAAAACGGCTTTTTCTTGATATAATTGTGGTTTGCGAGGAGAAGTGGATTCTGTAAGACAACCGGCTACGTTCACCTCAATGGTTGGATTGCTATCAGACTCCGCTGCACTTCCCAAAGCGGAAATTGCACAAAAAAGTTACGGTGACTGTTTGGTGGTCTGCAGCTGGGCTTAATCATCAGTTTTTTGAATCCGGACGAAACGTGACGGCAAAGAAGTATTGCCAGCACATCGACAAAATGCACCGTAAGACCCAACAACAACAACCGGCATTAGTTAACAAAAAAAGAACCAATCCTTCTCCATGACAATGTCCGGTCTCATGTTGTTGGACCAGCGCTGCAAAAGTTGAACGAGTTGGGCTACGAAACTTCCCCTCATCCGCCATATTCACAGGACCTCTCGCCTACATACTATCAGTTCTTCAAGCACTTTGACACCTTCCTGCGCAAGAAATGCTTCACCAACAACGATGATGCAAACAATACGTTCAACGAATTTATCGCTTCCAGAACTTTGTGCAACTGAAATAAATAGATTTGTATCTTGAATAATAAAGTTTTGCTTGAATTGAGTTATGATAATTTAAATAACATGGTTAAAAACACTCATTTATTTCTGAACCACCTAATAATAGAAAAAACTATTGCAGTACACTAAAAATTAGTTCAGCAGAGGGTAACTTTAAACTGTGGTAGATAGTTTCTTTTTACGCCTACCGAAATTTTGAGTAAATCTTTTGATTTCGATGGTTAAAGCCTACGAACTTTCTGACTCGGCGATCTAGTAAGCACGGAAAAAATTACACGCGGGAGATGAACCAACACAAGAACCCAACAAAAACGAATGAAATTTCATCCTTAGCCTGTCAGTTTAGTAGGAATGAAACTCAACTGTCAAATATACTATGGCAAATCAAATACAGACTATCGAAACCTCCAGTACCCTTTATATTCACAGTTACTGCGTTAGATGAAACTTACTTGATACGAGGCATTTTGTTTGACATCGGTACATGAAGATTCGCTTCAGAGTTGCCTCGTTTACTCGCAGAAAGCGATTCTTGCATTGCTGTTGCGGTCACCTAGAAAATTCTCCACTAATAATGGAGTGAAAAAAAATTACAAAAAATAAAGAACATATTGCTTTGGGTTTTTAATAACCTTCAATTGAGGAGTGAGCGGTGTAGATGCACTGGATGCCAAAAGCCGCTCAATACACGCATTCGCATCGAATGTCGAGTTTTCTGAGAAAAAAAAAAGATATTAGGTTTTTCTCTGCTGCCTCAATCCACCCAATATGAGTTGTTAAACAATTCATTCAAATACGTTCTGTAACGATCAGACATCTATAGGAGTCACACATGGAAAGGCATTGTAGCCGGTATGACCTGTACCCAGGTCGTTTCCTTCTTTCAGTGGTTTGCTGCGCGACACGGAGTTCTTCACCGAATCTTCTCTTTTTACTCAATAGCTACTCTAATACAATGCTCTGACGGCCAAAGCCCATCGTCGAATGTTTTAATTCTACATTTAATAATTAACATAAAACTCTTTTCAGACGAGTTCATTGACCAACGATTTCAATGACAATTGTTAACTGCTACTTCGATTCCCATCGCGACGATAAGCCATGGTTATCACATGATGGCAGTGGGTATAAGAAACATAGTAGCGAATTCAAGACGGTATGTAAACTACTTCGAAGTGCTGACAGAAATGTCGTTTTGTGGTGCACCACAGCTACATATAGTAAATAGTAGGCCATGCATGGCCTTATAGCGGTACAGCTAGTATTCTTCTATATTTCCATCATGTTCTCAACCCCTCAAGTCCTTCTGTTGTAGAAAAATTATTTTTAGCTATTGCAAAATGTCAGCAAGGCCACAATCAACCTGAAATTAGGCGTCACTGCGTAAATGTTAATGGCAAAACAATGATCTCAAGGCTGTAATGACTACACTAAAGTTAGGTCTGCTAGCATAAGCCAAAGCCTTAAGTATGGAACATAAAATACGAATTTTTAAACAGATTTTAAGATTTTGAAAAAAAAACGTAACACACCATCTGGTTCAGGACCGCAGTATACAAACAACGGGATCTTCTTCGTGCCAAAGAGATAATGGACTTTTTTGATAAGACCCAAAGCAACCAGGACATTTGCGATATCGTAAAGACGACGGCAACGACCTGAATACTTAATAGAAATTTCATATATTTTTTATTGATTTCATGTCAAATAATTTTAGTGTATGGAAAGAATTTCTTGGGATTATTAAGATTTCCCTGGTTAATTAAAACCATAGATACTTTTCTATTGATACCTAGTGGTTAGTGATGCAGTTCACGAAAAAGCAAGATGATGGTTCCACTGCCTACATAATACACCCCTCCAGTCCACGTGGTAACGCCCTAGCACTGCTAATCCACGATTACCGAGAGAACCTACTCGACCAACAATCATAAAGAAGACGCCCCTTAGTCAACAGCTGAATTCACACCCAAAAAAAAGTTCGAAGATCCATTCAGACGATGAATGCGAGGAAAACGAATCGAATGCAAGAACTGTTGGGTTTCGTACAGTGGTAAGTAGTGTGATCACGGATGATGTATATATACATTTACGTAAACCGCACTTTGTGCAGACAGTATAGGAAAAGTTCAGTAATTAAAATTTCTTACGAAACAACTCAATCACTTACTTCGACTTGGAGGCTCGAATCCTTCCGTTTCGGGATCTTTTATGAGAACTGTGCTGGCCACGTCCAAACTAACCCGCCTTGTGTTTTTCTTAAAGATTAAAGGAAAATCTAACCACTCCAGTGAATAATTGTAAAATAATTAGCACAACGTTCAACTCACTGGATTACTCAACAACACCATGAGGAATCGCCTGCAAAGTTGTGCAAGAGAATTTCGACCCTGTCGATCTCGAACATCAACTCGAGAGCGCTTCTGAAAGCAAGGATGGAAGAGCTAGACATTAAAATTTAAAGGCCTTTTCAACTTTTTTGCTTTTTTTAAGCCTTTCAACGATTCGAAAAAAACAATACAACTCTTTTTATATGACCCGCCTTCTCTTACTGGGTCATATAAAAAGAGTCGCGTTGTTCATATTGATCTCATGATTTCCTTCATTTAGATTCTTACCTTGCATCTATCATCAACAAAGGTATTGAAATCTGAGTATGGATTGCTCACGACTTTGTCTTCTTCAAGAACGTCTTTAAATAGAGGTCCATATAACTCACTTTGGAATCCCAGAACAGCTAAATCAGAACGCCTCCCAAGCCTTCACTAAGTGCAATAGTAGACCTTTGCGGAAAGGAAGGGACTATCCCCAGACTAATCCGGCAGTAATTTACCAAACTCTAGAGCTTGGAGCTTAACTGACCCTGAATGAAGTCGATCACGCCATCTTTCGACATTTGAGAGAACAAATTGGCCATAATATAGTGGACCGAAAATTTTTAAAAATGATACTCATTGACAATTCCACGATCCCCGTCATACGACGAAGTCCAGATGGCCGGTCGTGAGATTACACGACACGCTTTCAAGTGGAGGATATAGAGTAAAAAACAGATTAGACATGCACACATATTAGATGCAAGGAATAGGTGAATTCACAGGATGACCTGCTAAGCCAGATCTAATTATACATTCTGCTCCAATGCAGTCTCGTTATGAGGACCATAACTTCTTGCATTTCGAACTGGGATGTAGGAAGTACTGGCACTAGGTGATCTGTAGTGGTTCATAACAGATAAGGCAGAAGCCCATTCTCAAAGAAACTGTGAGCAATCGAGACATCTACGGCTGCGACCAGCGAGTCATTCATCAGTTTCTCAAAAAATTAGAAGTAAACGGCGTCATACTAAAACTGTGATGCTGTCCGTTTTCTTCATGAGAGCGCAGCCCAATGCAGAGCTTTGATGCACGGTGTACACGATGATTTACGGGACCGCACGTGACATGAGTGGTGATCACCATCGAAGGAAATGAACACTCGTAAAGAAATTAAACACAAATCTCCTATCTAGAAACGCAGAATGAAAACATCCACATCAAAACGTCTCTAATTATTACCTCGGTATTTTGAGACAAATGTGAGACATCTTGAGAATGGCTTGACGATGAAGGTTTTTCGTCTTCGCCGACTAGACTTCCTGAACACGGAATTCAATAGTGGAGACAAATTTTTGGAGAAAAAAAACATATGAATTGTGGCGGTACCAATTGAACCTCCATAGGTCAACAGTTCTACACTGTTTGCCCCACTTTTTACTTTTTATTGACCGATTGATACACAGACCACAACAAATCTTCCCTAGTTTTTCTTAGAATTTTCTTCACAGAGAGGTGTTACGGGAAAAAATAAAATCATTCCAGGTCTTCACGAGCAATCGGAATGTATTTACGTCTACACTCACCAACAATCTCTTTAACACCTAATTTTCGGCTTCCCGGTGAGAGTTCAGTAAAGGAACACATGGCCTGCTCAACACGGAGTACACGTTCCGGTAGATGCTCTTCAATTGCTTCTTTCTAAAAGAAATATTGTCTTTTTCTCTTTGTTACCGCGAAGAAATTTCATTTTAATTCAGTAAATCATCGTGTGTTTCCCTTTTAACTCCGAGCTCCATAGCAAACGGTTCTACATAGTCACTTAACCCTTTTCCTTTACATTGCACCAAGTAGGTAATATTTTTATTGGTTCGAAGTTTTCAGTGTTTTCCCACAAGCGTTTAGTGTCGATCAGCTAGAAAGTTTTCTTCGTGACCGTCGTCTTGGAAAGGAACAAATCGCAATATGGCAAACATCTCCCTGATCCACGGAACCGAAAGTACTTAATGTGGTGACTTGGAAGCGAACTAGCAAAAGTATCTTAGTATTCCAGGAAAGAAATCTAGCTCAACCAGCGACATACCACCTAAATAAAACATGTGTTCTTCATGAAAGAGGGATTACACCATTATGTGATACCAAGAGGTAAACGTGGAGCGTAGTGGTTGCAGGTGCCAGCAATAAACACGTGCAGTGGCTACATCTCGCACCCCTGGATGACCAAGTCTGCTATCCCTTCGGGCTCGGACGGCACCAGAATTATCTGCCTGCGAGAAGAACAGCACTGGCCTAGTATATCGATAAGCGACCATAAGTCATCGCATAAGCCAAATATCCATTCTGTGGATGCTTGATAACGTTGAATGCATGGCGCATCTCTCAGGCATTTGTCAATACCGGGAGTTTCATCCTTTTTTAATTCCAAATAGTTTTCTAATTTTCTCCAAAACATTTCGATAACCGTGTTAGGATAAATGATAAAGCTCTCGGCATTGATCAATCCATGAGGGAAGCACCATGCATTCTTCAATAAGTATCGTTGGAGGTGACTGAATGCATATCTGACCTTTACAATGACTCGCGGTGGCCTACTGATGTATCGGCTGCTATCCTCCCAGACAAGTCTGGTGCCAATTTGCCGACCCCGGAGGGATGGAACGCTTCGTGGGCCACGGGCGCGAAGATCGATTCCACGTGTGTCGCAGCGATGTCTCCAACCACTGCGTCACACGCGCCCCTGTACCGATAACCGTGCTACTTCGTTAGAAACAAAAAAACATGAATCGGATTGAAATCCGTCAATGTGGCACCTGCAAGTCGGCCATAAGTTTCGGCAGTCCCTCCAATCCGTGCCATTTGTAGTAGGATTTGTTTGTTTTACTCATCGCATCCAACGCCTCCATTACATTCACAATGTCATAGATTCGACGTTTCTCCACATCTGAACGTTTTGGTTTTTTCTTGAATATATTAGCACGGCAATAATGCACAATATTTGTGCTACTATAAAGTGAACATAGTTTGTTCTTTCACACGTTGTTTGAATACTAAAAAACTAAATGTTTATAAAAATTAGTGCATTTGACCCAAGACGATTAGCGAAAATACTAAACGTACCTATTGGGAAGAATCCATTACCTAGGTGTTCCTAGGTGCAAGGCTGCGATATACAGCGACGGGATTCGTCCACCCGGCAAGGTCTCCCATGCTGAGAACGAGTCCGGCATTTCCATCAGGAATCCCAGTTAAGTGTAAACCAATACCAGGATTCACCACCGTCCTGGTATAAAACTAGTCGCATGATGGCAAACCGCCCTTTGATCCACAAGGGCTGCGACTGCCTGTGGTGATGAAGAGCTGAATCAGACTTTGGCCAGGCTGAACACGGGATTCAAGGAAACCACAATGGCTCAATCAGCAAATCTCCGCAAAATGGAGATTATGCTGGGGCCTGCACTACCAGTGAGGACGGGTCATACAAGTATCCAAGTAAATAAGGTGGAAGTTTTCATTTTTAGTAACCAACTTCTCCTCTTGCTGTTTTTAGCAATATATGCATTAAATGATATGAAATAACCAGATGAATCCTAATGATTACTGATAAAAAAGCTGCAGGAAAAATCCTCTTCACTCACTCATTTTTCTAGCTACCGTCTCTAAGTGTACTTCTCTACTGATTGACGTCCGTGTTTCTTCGTTCATAGCGACAAGAAAACTAAAAACAACTATATCGATCAATAGTCAACCATCTATTGTTAACGTCATTCATGGATAAGCACCGTTGACAGAGTAATCCGAGACTTTTCTCTTTTCGTGATGTCACTTCACCGTCCTCGCTTTCGATATCCACATCATCGCAGGATTCTCGACGTGTACACGCTGTCATACTGTAGACGTGGCACGAATCAGATATCGATTCTGATATGAAGGATTTATGTCGTTAAGGGATAGAAACGTCCACCTACTTTTACATCGATAAATCGTTTATTTCCGCCATTTTCACAGTTTTGTATAAGTTTTTTATTGTCTAATCAATTTTGACCTAAAGACTGCTTCGAACTTTTTTTCCCAAAAATTTAGAAAAGCTCTCTCACAAAGACTGGAAACCATTGGAGCCGACCCACGATAACTTTTTATTCAAGCAATATGTTGTTTCTTTAAAAAAAAGGATATAAGCGATTGGAATCAGCTTTTCTTAAAGGATTTTAGCATGGCGACAGTACAACCTCATATCAAGGAATAGATAGTCTCTTATCTCAACTGCATTTGAATTTGCTCACAGTGTTTGGGACCAAAAAACAAATTTTGTTAGGAAATGGATTTGTCTAATTGACAGGAGTCAACTACGACTACTTCAACAGGACATTCTTTTATCAAATCATTCTGTCAGCAATCCTTCTTCATGACATTTCATTGCCTGAAACAGAGGATTTGCACGCTCTTATCGTCCTGCTCTCAAACACCCCTAATAGCATACTATGGGCGCGAAATTTAAATCCAGAAAATTCATGCATATCACACAACCCACGTAATGTTTTGTCTTATAGTATGCCTATCTCGACACTTGACCCACGTCGAGATGATAAGAGCGTTGCCGAGGTGAGTGAGAGGCCTCTACGAACGCCCATCGACAAAAACTCTCTCATTCTTCCTATTTCATTCTGTCTATCTATCGATACAGAGCATGTCGTGGAATTGAAAATATACGGACCACGACACTATCATGTCGTATCGATCACATAACTATTTTCAAACAACAGTTGCGCAAATATTATTGCACGAGCACAACCCACCTCTTATTTCGCAATTACACGAAAAAAAAATCACACACTGGGAAATTGCAATCTCACATAACTGAGCAGGTGAGGAAGTAGCGCAGTGGCTAGCGATGGGACACACACGTGGTCGTCTGTTCGATTTTGCGCTGTGCGCTGACTAAGCCTTCCATTCCACTGGGGTGAGCGAATTGCTACCAGACTTCACTAGGACGATCAGCACACTGACTTAAAACATTGGTAGGCCATCGTAGTGACTGCATAGGCAAGAAGTCCAATAAATCCGATGATTCATGAATGGCTTTACCACAAAGCGGCTGAACAATGCAGCTTTGATATAAACAGCTAGAGACGGAGAAAATTTGCTGAGCCATTCGCAAAAAGAAAAACAGTCGTAAAAAAAGGAATACCTCAAGAAACTGGCCGTTTTACATCTTTTGGCTTTGCGTTCTAGCACACTAATAAAAATATTTTTATGAATTCCTTTATTTTTATTTATACGACCCGCCTTTCTTACACCCAGCTTTTGCGCGTGAGTTCAGGCGCTGCTTGAGGATTTTCCTTTCGTTATAAAAGACGTGAACGCTGGCCGAATTGACATTCCTGGAGTCATAAGATAGTCGAGCTAGAGCGCTCTCAGACTGGAGGGATTGTTGTTAATCAAAATTAATCTGGTACCAATTTCCCGGCCCATGAGGGATGAGGGAATTGGTAGGTCAGAGAGGGGTTCGGGGCGGCGCCGGACTCGTGATGGTCATCACTACCACTGCTCTACTCACCCCATAAATTCCTCTATATAACTCTTGACTGGCCAATAACTAACTAACAGTCCAACTAAAAAACGATCGCAAAAGATAAACAGTTTTGAATGTTGAGAGCTCTTTTTTCGAAATTTATTGTCTTCGAAAGAATGCACTTAAATTTTGGAAAAAAAGAACAACTCTTACCTCGGCTTTGAACTGACAGACTGGATTTTTCTGACAGCGGCGAAGGTGGCAGGACCGAATGCCGTGCAGTAGTGACATCAGTGCTGATTTCAGGTGAAACGGTGCTGCTGGACAGTGCAGGTTTTTGATCTGAGAAGTCTATAGGATACGGTATGTTCTCCTTATTCGCTTCGATTATCGCCACCCATTGCGACATGACTAGATCCTAAATATTCTCCATTTTGCTAAAAGCTACTGTAACTGCCTCAAAATGTTACGACTATTTTCCCTTTCACCATTATATAACCGAGTCAAAGTTTCTTTACCTTTTAATTCTCAATTGTTTACTTCTATTTACGTCAAAGGTTGAATGAACTAAGAAAAAAAAAAGTTTCAAAAGTGAAAAAAGTGCTGAACATCAAGAAAAAAGATGTCAAGACGTTGTTCCTTTAAGGGCTCGATAGCGCCGCCACACAGCGGATACGACCAAGAAATGAGATTAGCACTACAGTGAAAGATGAAATAGGTGTTCAAGTTCCCTTCTCAAGGACAAATGGAAAGGTTTGAATAGAATCCAAAATTATCAAATCATTGCCAGTACGCTGTATGGTGAGTGAAGCATGTTAAATAGAATGGAGATAAAAACGCTACTGGACTTACTCGGCTGCCTAAACAAACAACAAAGATGTCTGCCATCGAGTAATGAGAAATTCTTTTCCCATCCATTGATCCTAGAATGTCAAAATTGCGATGTTCAAATGTGAATACATGCATTTGCCGAAGGATGACGACACCCGCCCGGGACGGCTCATAGGGTGCGAGGCGCGCGCGAGATGAGTGCGCCATAACGGAAACGGTAAGGAAGAGAATGCGTTTTCTATGAATGGAATACGTTGTGAGCAAGCAGAGGTTATGTGACAAAAGACGCCAAGAAATTGCGTCATACCAGATGGGTCAACGCGTTCCATTGATGACACGTTCGTTGTAACAGCGGGAGGAATCGGAGATGAACATCTGCACTCCAAACAACATCACGATCACTCTTCATGATGATCAAATTCATGAAGAATGTGTAGCATTCGTCACCAAACGAACACCACTGTTGCTCTTACTTGAACCCTGACTCTTTGTCACTGAAGAGAAGTGAGTCGTCGGGTGTTGGAAGTATCCGAATGTTTGCGCGACATCCTCTGAACTGGCAACTGCCGATTTGAACAACATTGTTGTCCTATCATGGGGCCGTATATTGTCAGATTTATCCAAAATTTGTTATAGTAGATGGAGAGTCGTTTAGCAAAATTGGCCAGACCCTCCGGAGTTCCTTTATGCCATTAATTTTCTATTTTTATTTAGTTTATTTTACGTGGTCCGTCATCACACCTACTGTGCGGATCCCAGCACTTTTTGCTTCCACTCCTTTTCCTCGCATTCATCGTGTGTTGTTTCGAGAATTCTCCCTGAAATCATGTATTAACAGTGCTAGGGCTTTTACACGTGGAAAGGTGTTGTGAAGGAGGTCGAACCATTACCTTGCTTCCTGATAGACCGCACCGCTAACCACTACGTTACTCTCCCCATTATCCATCTAATTATCGAATTTGATTCGAGTTTCTATGAAAATCAACAAGATCGACGTAACGTCGATGATCCCCGCTTCAGCTACACAGATTTGAAATCGAAGCCAAAACAAAACCTCTTGGATATAAATCATATTAATATGCTCCGTATGCTCATCAATCAGACCTGCCACGAACTACGTGGTGTGACGCGTGTGGCACGGTGGTCGGAGGCGTCCTGTGACACACGTCGAATCGATCCCCGTGCCCATGGCCCACCAAGCCTCACATCCCTCCGGGGTCGGCAAATTAGTATAAGACTTATCTGGGGCGAGAACAGCACTGGCTTGGTGCATCGGCAGGCCACCGCGAGTCATTGTAAAGACCAAATAAGTGTTCAGTCACCTCCAAACGAGCTTAAAGTTGAGGGCATGCCGTATCCCTCAGGGATTAATCAATGCCTAAGAATTTTATGATCAAAGATAGCGAAACTTGAATCTGTTTCGTTATTAAGATAGAATGACCTTAAATAAAAACTAGCATAGTTACAGGTTTCCTAGGCGGCGTTTTTGTTCTCAGTACCTCTCGGAAAGGAGAATTCTGACGACTGGTGAAGCTCATCGAGAAAATCGGTTTTATATCAAAGCACCATCATACCATACCGGTAGCGCCTCGAAATATAACAAGAGGCGTCTCATTATGTATGCGTGGCACTACGTTTTTCCATTCGTCATATAAAAAACGCTGATCGACGGATGGCGGTACATTTCAAATTTCAAATGGGCACATTTGAAATGTGCCCATTTGTGTCTTAGGCATAAGGCTTAAGGAAAGAACTTAAGGAGAGAGAAGAGGGAGAGAGAGGAGAGGGAAAGTAAGAACTACCCTTTCGCCGATACCATTCTGCTAAAATGGACCTGCCGGACTAGATTGAGGTCACAATGAAACCCTAAAATCTCTCAAAATGATCTCTTCAATGGCGCATGTACTACCTGTGAGAGAACCGAAAGGGCAATGTGTTTATTCCAATGCCACTTATCGGCTTTATGAAACCACGCCGCTTCTTCAAACGCGAATAACTCCGTTGGATTCTTAGTTTCGCTCGACTCGACAACCTCTTACAATGAACGACCTCCAAGGGATTGGTGGACATCGCAAAACACTTCTGATTCCCTCCATATATAGCAGGCGAGCCATGTTCACAAAATTTGAACAGTCGTCGGAAAACTTACTGAACAAGTGAGGTGTCATGTCATGTTGGAGATGATGAGGACCGGCGACAGGCGAGGACATGTCTCGTGCCCGTCCCCTGTTCAAAAATTGTCGCCGTGGTGGGAGATGCACGAAGATAAGCAGGCCGGCGACTCCAAGCGAATCGCGCGCGAAAATCGCCGCGATTCAACGCGGATTCGACAAATACCCTCTTAGCGAATCGCTCGGAGAACGACAGTAATGAGTTCTACGACAAGGAGAAATGACCTTGGATTTCTATTACTGTCCTAGTATTGAGTAACAATCCAATGCATGGAGAGAACGTATTTTGAGGATAAATTGAGTATAAAAGGTAGAAGGAAGAGGAAGCACTAGTGGTAATATTAATCACAGTGAATCACCATCTATAGCTTATCCATGGGCTCGTGTGGCGCAATGATCGGAGGCGCCTGCAACACACACGTGGAATCGATCCATGTGCCCTGGCCCACCAAGCCTTCCATCCCTCTGGGGTCGGCATATTAGCGCCAGACTTGTCTGGAAGGATAACATCATTGGCATGATACATCGGTAGGCCACCGCGAGTCATTGTAAGGCCAGCTATGCATTCAATCACCTCCAACGATGCTTAATGAGGTCGAATTCATGGCGCATTCCTCTGGGTTAGATCAACGCCGAGAGCTTTATCCTTTTATTCTAGCTTGTCCACTATGATTTCTGCTGGCATTAGCTTTGATGAACGGATAACAAAACAACAGCATTCCTTTCCATTGGTTACTCACTTCGTGCAAGTCCTGATTGATTGCTTATAAAAACGGTCAATACAAGCACATCATAGAGAATATTTTCAACAGTATAGTATTACAGATTGAACAGATTCCATAATTCTATCTTTATGTGGTACTACTCTGGACCAGCACGACTTCTTTTTCGGAAACACTTCGCGCCAAAACGTACGATTTGAACCTCCTAAGATTTGGGTCAAATTTAGTAAACCTGGAGCAATTGTGCAAGTAAGTTTACGGAATCCGTTTGGCTTGCTCGTTTGTTGTTCAATTTACGAGTACTTTTATAAACTAATTGAACCAAAATGTACAACTGGTTTATAAAGCAGCTGGTGCAGTTCGAAAGTATTAGAAAGAGAAAGAGAGAGAGAGGGACAGAGAAGGAAAGAGAGACTCTACGTAATCTTAGGGACAAAAAGAAATCCGATCAAAACAGAGAAAAACAACTGGATCTAATCGATGAGACATTCGTATGTTGATGAATAGAGTGGACGACAATAATGGAGAAGCAAATGATGTTATTGAATACGGGACAAACAATTTCATCGCAATCTAACATTCCGTATAGTGATGACATTCAAGATAACAGTGAAGCCGTAACCAATTACATCAGAGTGGACAGAGAAGCATAAAAAAGGCGGCTATCAAAAAAAGGCCTACGAAGAGCACTAGGGGCACTCTGGCACTCCACTCATGTCTGATATGCTTAAGGGAGGCTAGCTGTCTTTAAAGATACTCGGCACGCTAGCAATGACCATCCAGGAAGGGTCAACTCGCCCGCTGCCGGTGTGGGCGAGTGGGTGGGGCATGGGTGACGCTCGATTTTCGCGCGCATGGCAAACGCGCGCGCTTCTGCGCGCTATGGTTGATCTATGCGGAGCACTGATTGACCGAAAGTTATCGTAGAATTACAGGACATGTCTACCATGTAATATGACTATACTGCAATCTTTTGATTGAACACTAATCCAAGGATTTACTGAACCATCCTGGGTTGGAGAAGAGCGCTCTCCGATATCAAAGGCCGTTGTGAGCACACGAGCTGACTTTTCTGCACGGTCGACAAAGCAGAGAAAGAGTCGCGCACTTCCATACCAGAGCATAACTAACAGTAAATGTGCGTTAGGATTTAATTTACTATCGCCCTAGGACAACCCTTGTCACAAGGTAATAATCTTCACTCTGACCCATAAGGCTGGTTTCGCTCCCAAGAACCTCCTGAGTGGCATCGCTAATGGTTGCGAAACCTTAAGAATACATAGAATTAAAAACTTGAACGTTAGATTAATTAAACACTAATTGGGTGGGAAAGTACCAAACAAAGTTCTAAAGTTAACTATAACAAAAACCTACATCTCATTTAAAACCAAATGCTTTGCTATACTAGAATAGAATAGAAAGTAGAATATTGATTTATTGTACTTTCATTGCCTTCTGAATCCGCCTACACTTCCAGAGAACTACAATATCTGTGTCTAATCCCTGATTCGTACCCGCCGACTGGTGAGACATACCGTTACAACTAGAGGGCCTCGATTCCCTCCATAACAGAGATTTGATGATATAAGTAAAATATTACAACGCTTGAATAACCGTTTTCATTAAAACAAATTGTGTGCGCTCAGAATATTTTGCAGACTAACATCTACTGGTAATCCTTTTTT